ATTAGAGGCTGTTAGCACCTCAGACTTCTTCCTGAACCTGGATTAGTGATCAGTTTTGTTTTAAGATCCTAAGAGCACAAACGATGAGACTGAAACAGGCCCCATTCGCTAATGCACTGCTCGTTGAGGAATGTCAGTGATGACGTACGTGTGGAAAATTTGGGGCACCAGACCTCTCCCCAGTCTCATCTCAGTCTCAGGCCCAGAATGAGGTGAAAATTGGAGAGAGGGCCCTGGAGCAGAGAAAGGGGGGTTCCTGGAACATTTAGGGCCATGTCACTGAGGCAATTTCCAGCAATGATTTACAGGAAGTGTTTAGCTTATGCATAGATTGGGGCCAATCCGAAAAGGAATCAAGGTTCATGAAACTCTCAATTGTGACATCTTATAGGGTGTGGCCCAACCAGAGTTAGCTAAGTACAGATGTCAGTAGCTATAGATTCATTTGATTGCTATTACGTATTCTCTGTCTCTCTCTGATACACACACACACACACACACACACACACACAACTGAATTATATTCAGCAGTATTTTATGCTCTTTGGAAATTGTTACTTACTCAGATACAGGGTGTTCTGTTTTTGCTTTTTGCTGATTCTCTACTAATTTTGTTATTCCCAATACCCTTATCTCATTTTGAATTATGGAGTTTACTGCAGTATTGTATTTTTGAGATGTAAAAACTATTATAATTAGAACTAAGATTTTCAAAAATGGGAACATGCAGGTTAAATGATAAGGATAGTGTATTTGTGAAATTTGGGTTCCATTTTGTTTTGTCATCGTAGCAAACAGAGAAAAAATGAGTTGATTACAGATGGAAGTGTAATTTTTTTCTATTGAGAAGACTTGGTCATCTGCCTCCACATCCATCACCACCCATCAGCACTACAAAGGGCAGCTGAACTCCCCCTCAATACTCCTCTGTGCCCCAGTTTCTCCAGATGTAAAACAACACCGCTCAACACATCTGTCTCCCCCTCAACTCAAAGAAATGTTATAAGAATCTTTGAGAGAAAAGAATCTCCACAAAAGTGTTGTGATCCCAGAACTTATTTGTTTTGTATCTTTGTAATTGTATGAAAAGTGGAGGTTACTCTAGTAAAAACTGAAAACTGAGCTGGAAAGGGCTGGAATTGCTAAAATGAGTGGAAATACGATAAAGGAAACCATTCCCTGTACCCAGCAGCTATCAGGCTATGTTCATGATCTGCTCTTGCTTCCTGAGAGCACCATAATTTCTTTGTAACCAAGAGGAATAATCTATTTTCTGGCCTAACGTCTCATAAGGTATTTTGGAAGTAAGCTGAACACTAGGAAATAATATTTTATAGATCTCTTCGTCTCCTCTTTATTCAACACTCTTTAATTTTTCCCCCTTGCAATTTCTCTTCTCAGAAATGTCGCTTTTTAGCGTTGATTCATCTCTCCTGCCTCATAGCACATTTTTCTCTCTTCTAGCCTGTCCATTTTTCATTTTTCTCACTTGTATCTTAACTGGATCTTCCATCTCCTCCATTTCTACTCCTATTTCCTTTAAATTCATTTTCCTCTTCCCCTTTTCTCTCCCTAAAGAGTGAACAGACAACAGATAGGACAATCAGCTAGGATTGTGCTGAGAAAATGAACTGACACAGCACAGTGAAAGCTGGACAAGCCAAACCTGACTCCATCAATTTGAGTTGACACCTCTGACAATTCAAACAAGACTTGGTCAGCACAGAACCGCAAGGCTGTCTTGGAATTTTCACACATATATGTTTGACATTCTACTCCAATTCAGTTCCACAGCCCAGATGGTGGAAGAATTTTGTTTACTTGAGACAAATTCTCATCTATCATCTTTCGCTCCCACAAGACCATTGCTCACAACCCCCAAGGACTGCCTATGAGCAGCATCATTTTGTTACAGTTAATGCTCACTGTTGTGCACAGCTGGGAAATGTAGCCTTCTGGTTAATTACATTTTCCCATTAATAGAACTTACAAGGTACATCTTCCATGGGTTGCTGACATCTAGACACCTGGGATACTCTAAACACCAAAGCTAACTTGAACAAGTTTAGTCATTCTTGAAAATTTTAGAGGAAACTTCAGGACTCATGGAACATCAAGGGTACCAAAGATGTGTTGTAGATGTGAGTAGTATAAGATAATTGGGATTTTCATTTGGTACAATGTAAAAGTGGTTTGGGGGTATGCAATAGCACAAGTCACATGGGAAATAAGGGTACCATGTGAAGCACATTATATCTTTTTAAAATTTTTCTCCTCAGTATTAATGTGTATTTAAATGTTCAAAGGAAAGAAATTCATGACCTTCCAGATTATAAAACAGTATATGCATGACAATTCCATTTTTGTAAGAAAAAACATGTATGTATACACATACACACAACCTCCCATACACAAGTCAGGGAAGATATGACCCATATTTTAATAGTAGTCTCTCTGGGTGATGTAATTATAAGTGCTTTTGTTTTCTTCTTTCAGTTTATCCGTACTTATTAAAAATTAAATATTTCTTCTATAACACAAATAAACAAATAGTCTTTAATTGGACAAATCACATAGCTCAGTATTAAAATCAGCACAGAAATCTATCTCAATATAGATCAAGAACAGATTAAATGAAAAGAATGGTTGCAGAAGAAATCTTCCCATTTGGAAAACACCTATCACGTAAGATTGTCAAACACAAACTTGGAGGCTGGGGAGTTGGGGGTGGTAGTGGCTGCAGCAATAGCAACATGGAATGTGAGGCAATGCTGTTGCCTTGGGGAATAGAGGTGGGATGTGGATCATCACCTGTTATCACAGGCAGGCTCTATGAGTCATACACGATATGATATGGGGTTACAAGAAGGATTCTTGCATTTTCCATTAAGATAATCCCTTCATAGCATTTCTGCATCTGTTTCTAACCTTCTAAACAGAATAAGATATGGAAGACCACATCTTGGTTTCAACACTGATTCTCCACGACTGGGGTGGAGGGTTTGGCCTGAGCCTGAAATCAGACGCTCAGTCATCTCCAGGGCCCTGCACCACCATGGCTTCACCCCACCCATGGCTTCACCCAATCCTGGTCCTTGACAGCACAGGGCCTGTGCCACCGTCCCACCTCTCTCCCCACCCTGGACTGGCCTTTGCTCAGTGTGGTCTCCACTTGTACAGAGCTCTGTACCCCTCCCGCTTGCTTCCATCTCAGTTTTCCCAGCATTCACCGTCATCCCAGAGAAAGGACAGGGGAAGTGTGAACAGAGAAAAGAGACACAAATTTCAAAAATGAAATTTTAGGGGAAACTCTACCAGTGAGTGTAGACTTCTTCCCTAGTGATACAAAGAGTGCAATGGCATTTCCAGGATGAGGGGAGGGGTGGCTGTTCTGGGATCACCCTACCTGGTTGCCTCTTTCTATCCATGGGCAAAAGAGGCCATGCTGTGCAGGAAATAAATTCCCAGCTTCCAGAAGTCCCCACATTTTCCAGAGACCAGAGCAGATCCTTGCCTATTCTCATTTCTGCTGTTGCATGCACCTTGTCTAAGAGGTTTTCCAAATCCCAGTGTGTGTTTCAGCATCACTTGTGCACACTGTCACGCTGGAGCGCCCTGCACAAGGCTGAGATCCTGACTTCCCATGTGGATTCCTCTGTCCCATTTATCTGAAGCTCTTTGCAGGCAACAGATCGTACTTTAAAAAACAAAAAGCACACAAACAAACAAACAAAAAACACCTCTGCAGTACCTCTTACAGTTTTGTGTTAAGACCCATGTATTTGTTAAGCGAACAAATGCGCAAGTGACTCAGCAGTCCGCACACCTATTGCTCTGCTGTTTTCAGATGCTACATAGTATCTCATCTATTTCTCAAAGCAACCCTGTGAAGAAGGCCCTCCATTACCCTTGCATTCAGGATAAGAAAAATGGCTTGAAGAGGACTTGCCCATAGTAACACACAGGTCACTCAGTGCCAGGACCTGAAATTCTGATTTTAGTCTAATGCTCTTTCCATCACGATGGTGATCCCCAAGCCAGTTGGCTCATTAGAATCCCCCATAAAGTTGGTTAACGAACCAGTCACAGCCCTACTGCAGACCTGCCAAATCCCTCTCAGGTGAGGCTCAGCCATCTATACTGTCAACGGGTTGTTCCACAGATGATCTGGTTGCCCTTCCACCCATGCTGCCTGTGCTGACCAGCTCTGATTTGACATCTGGTCGATGTTATCAAGGGTGTCAATGCAAAACTTCAAGGCTAGCCCTGACACTGAAAATCCTATGTTCCTCCATTAGTCACCTCCTTGTGTGTGAAGAGTTCACTTATACCTCCCAGGATCCTCCTTCTGTAGGAGCTAGGTTAACGGCTCAACTTCTAGAAAACCCAAGGTTAAAAATAGCTGTGACACTCATTAGCCCCAAGGGGGAAAGGTCAGCAAAGTTTGACAGCCGCACTTAGGAAGGCCTGAGAGAGGCTGCAGAAAGGCCTCGGAGCTGAGAACAGGGACTCAGCCTTCCTTGGAAGCCTGGCTCCAAACCAGCTGGGCCCCCGCTAATTGGCCACGTCTGGGAAAGGTGCTCGTAGAGTCACGTCTCTGTAAAGCAAGGGGCAAGGGCCCTGGCAATTAAGTGACCACAAACCCATCCAATAATTACTCATCAGGGGGACTGCAAATGGTGGGAAAGTTCTTCCTGTTTGGAAGAGTGAGTAAAATTTGGAGGGAATCAGCAACCCGCCCCCCTCCAGCAGCAGACCACTAAAGCCTAACCCCATCACGAGAGAGACCCTCACCACTCAAGTTCTCCAGAGGAACAATTAGGAGGTGCTTGAGAAGTCCCCCAAGCTGACTTAACCTGCCACGAACCCAGCAAGCAGCCGCCCTCGGACTGTGATGTATAAGGAAGGGGCCGCCTCCAGAGAGCGGCCTGGGCTACTTGCCTAAGTGCTGTGTTGCAGGTCAGCCTGGAAACCATTATTATCATCATCAGGAGGATCAGTTAGGAGACAAGTCGAAGCAAGTTGAAATTTGAAAAACACATTAACAGAGGCCTGACGAGATGCCAGAAGAGTCTGCCAGCAGGGACAGCTGGAAGGCCAATTTCTGAGTCAATACTGAAAGGTGGTTGCTTAAATATCTGAGTCAACACACACTGATTTCTCTCCGGCTCAATACTCCCGTTTAATTGCACTGGGGAGTCTCTCCACTGACACATCTAACACCAAGATACATAGTTAAGTGAAAGAAAAGCACGTTATTGAAGTGTAAATGAGGTCCTTCGTGCAGCCTGCAGGCCTGGGTCCCGCTGAGCGCTCCCTACTGCCCTGGCAGAAGGTGGCTGGGCCTTGCAGGGACTCCATGTGGCCCCCTTTTTAAAGAGGGTCGAGGGACGGTGAGGCTCAGGCCTCAGCTGGCCAGCAGAGAGAAGTCTAGGTGCACTGCAGCTGCACAAGCTACCAAGACTCTAAGATATTTTGTCAGGATCCACGGTCCTCTCCGGGGAGAGGAGGCCAGGAGTGCCTGTTTCCCACCCGAGAGAGCCAAGTCAGATGGAAGGATGTGCAACTGGAGAGCTATCCTGTTTGGCAGCCAGGTGACCACCTGACGAGGTTGGTGGCAGAGATGAGGAATGAAGCAAGTCTTGAATGTCTGCCCAGCTGCCTGGAGCCTGGGAAGCAGGCTGGTCTCTGAGGAGTCCTGACAGGTCATGGCTACTGATGGAGATGCTTCCCCATCATGATGCCCACACAGGGACTGAGCAGGATGGCCCAGGGGTAGTGGCGAGGGTGGGGGCTCCCACAGTGACCCTCTGGCAGCCTTCACTGACCTCAGAGCTAAGCATGATATAGGAGACCTACCTGGACCTGAAAACCCATGAGAACCAGGACCCGAACCACAGTGAAGAGGCGGGGCCCATGAGCAGGTGGCATGAGTCCTCCATTGCTAAATTCTATGTCTGCTGCCAACTGTCGTAGATAAGGAAGAAACCCATATCGGTGGTAAACTCAAACTCAAATTACTGGGGCACATTGTGAAAGTGCAGTTTCTGGTTCAATACATCTGGGTGTAGGTAGCTTTGGGTCCAGTGGCATTCTGGTGCACACCAGTCTGTCATGCACCCACAGTGTGGGAGTGCTTCCTCATTAAAACACCTGCTAATCACAGCAAACAATCAGAGATCTGTTCAGATGGGGCCCGGAGGATCTGAGAGACACATGGCTGGGCCATTGTCAACCCGAGCAGTTCAAGTGCAATGGCTGCCACTTAGGGAAACTATGGAATTGTCTTGGTCTGATGCTCAAAACTAACTCACAGGGACGTGATCTGCCCAAGACAAACAAGTCTGAAATGAAGATCAAATGCTATTTCTTCCGCTTACTAGTTGTGGGACCTTATATAACTGTTGTGTAAATAAGATAATGTGGGTAAAATGCCTGGCACAAAGTGTTGCCCAAAAAATGCCAGTTCACCCCTCAAGTTTCCCCTCAAATCTGAGGTGGCCTCAATTTTTTCCTTCTCTAGTTGTCAGTGTTGCTTTCCGTCCAGGAAAGCCACAGTTAGAAGAGGTGCTGTGAAATTTTTGTCTCTCACCTCTAAGCAAGACATCCAGCTCTGTTGGTCCCTGTGGCGGGACCTCCCCATCTCCCACCCAGCAGAAGTTTGAAAAATGAATGTACTCATCTTCCTGGAGCATAAAGAGTTTTAAGACCTTCCCTTCTGAGCTGTTTATGGAACTGCCATTTAGGAATTCAAATGGCAGAGCCATTCTCCCTCTGAAGGTCCCCAGGGAGCTCCAGCACCTCCTCACCTATCCCTTATTTCGTGCTCATGCTTTTTTGCACGTCAATAAGCGGTCTCAAGGCCAAGACTGTCCCAGGCGCCCATGCACCTGTCTGATTTCATCCCCATGGCTCCCTTCCTCTTGCAGCCCTTCCCAGGCACACTGGTCTTCTTGTCTTCTGTGAACTTGCCAAGGCTGTTTCTGCCCTGGGCACAGTGCTGCCTGGAAGCCCCTATCCAGGTAGCCACATGGGGGTTCTTCCTTCATCCAAGTCTCAGCTGAAATGCTGCTCCCTCTCAGAAGGCTTCACTGGCCCTCTATCAGTTTTATATTTTTTTTTAACATTCATCACTACCCGAATGATCTTATTTGTTTAGTTACATGTTAATTGTCTCCCTCTACTAAACCACAAGCTGCCCAAAGGCAGGGACCTCACGTGTTTAGTTCAGTGAGCATTGCGGATCCCTAGACAGTGACTAGATGCTTAGTCCATTCCTGCAGCAGCAACAGTTTTCCAAGGAACGCTATCAAATGGATCTATGAGTGTTATAATTCTATCCTGTAATAGGTTGGACAACTATTCAGGGTTTTGAGCACTGCCAGAAACATGCAACTCCAGGAAGGAGAGGAGTGGGGACGGGAGGGAAATGCCTCCAGGCAAAGGCAAAAACTTTGCTTTGAGCTTCTCATGTCCCAGAATTCAAACGTCCATCTGACCCCAGGATCAGAGTGACAGAAGCTTTGCTCTGTCTCCTCTCACCTGAAATGAACAGAAGGCTGCTATTCATTCCCTCAACCTCAGGTTCTAGGATGAAGCTAGAGGGAAGCCTTCAGCCATCAGGGCAGTGCCAACACCAAGGGCTCAAGCAACATTCAACTTTAGAGATATTGTCTAGTAAAGATAATGAGAGCTGGACTTTTTATATGGATTATTAAGCTATTCTAACTCATCACATGGATTAGTTTATTTGTCTTAAGAAATTGCCTCAGTGACTAGAGATAGTTTTTAGAAAATGCATGAGATGTGATCCCCTCTAACAAACATCTACTGTGGCCGAGCCTCACTTAACTCCACATGGATCACCTAGCATGGGGGTTCTAGAAAGGGATGGGGGAGCTGCTGCTACAGGGGTTCATGTTGTCCACCCATCCCTGGTTCTTCATTATTACTTTGTGACTCCATACTCAAAACCAAGCCTTGTCAGTCCTGAGAATGGCTCTGGCTCTGAGGGAGCTGAATGACTGCCAAGGCCATCCAGATAAGCATGAATTAAGCAAACCCTCCTGTCCCTACGACCCTCAGGACAAAGTGGAGAAGAGGGTAACTGGGCTACTCTGCGGAAGTGTCAGTGCCCTGAGGTCTCTGTAAAGCACCAGATAGTGCAGGAAGAGGAAGTCTCAGCTCTCCTTAGTAAGACAAGGCAAGCTACTGAGGGCCACGCTGTCCAGAGAAACTTTGGTGGATGCACATTTGGTGGATGCACAGAAAGTAATACGTTTTTCTGCTGTTAGAGATTCTTTTGGAAGCGAGTATAGAAGGCCCTGCCAGAATGAGATCCCTTGGGACACCTGGGATGGGGGTGCTCAAAACAACGGTTTATTCAAAATACAGCGAGCAAGTCAGTAGCATCCTGCCCCAGAACCCCAAACACCAGCTGTGCTATCCCTTCCCAGCTCTTTCTCACTGCCCACGAAGTGACCTCTGAAGTGTCCGATTGTCTTTAGGAGCAACGCAGGGCTGGAAGTATTTTAGACCAGGCCTGCTGTACTCACTGTCTGCGTCTGCTGTGTCTCTGTCGGGGATCAGCTGCTGACTGTCGGCATAGCTCATGACAGTTCTCCTGTCTTGATTTCCCTGAGCACTTGCTTCTGCAAAGAAACCGTGAGAGGAAGGAAAGTGAGGATGCTTGCATGAGTGGGCTTCATGGCGGCCGAAGTGGGAGACTTTTTTTGGATGCCTCTGAACATCGGTTGCCCCTGGCAGGTTTCCCACAGGTGCCCATCATGTGAAGGACTGGATGGAAGTTCCAGCTGTTGGATGTCGTGCTGGGGAGGCTGAAGGACATTTAACATGTTTCATGTACTCATTGCCTAGAACGAGGAAATGCACTGTCTGAGAACAAAATGGAGGAGAGGACGCTCATTTGAGGAAGAGCTCTCCTGGACATTACCCTTTCTTGTTCCTTTCACCTTCTGGGTCTCTCTGTGCTAGGGTGAAGTGGGGCACAAGAAAGACCCTGTAGGGCCCTTTCTTCTGCATTGCTTTGGTCTAAGACATAGTTCTTAATGCTGACTGCACCTTAGAATCACTGAAGAGCCCTCACTCCTGCTCCTCCCTAAGTAACCACCTCCCAAAACATAGTGTGTGTCCCGTGGGAGATAATCTGAGGGAATAGACCCATGTGAAAAGATTATCAGTGAACATAATAGTGCTTCCATGCCCATCCCCCTCACTGTCTTTGAGAGGCTCTATCTTGCCTCATGGAGCTGTCAGTGGTCACTGGGAGAAAACACTCTGGCCCCCGGAAGTTAATGGGGTTCCTTAGGAAGCAGTATCTGCATGAGGTCTCCCCTGAGAGTGCCTGGCCTTCCTGCTGGAGCGCCCCCGTGCTGCACTCAGGGCAGATGAAGGCAGGCAAGGAGAGACAGACTCACCCTCCCCCAGAGCCTGGGGGCTGAGGCTCACAGCAGGAAATCCAAGGCTGCTGGGGAAAGGGAGCGGGGACTGGGAAATGCACAGAAGCATGAAAAGAAAAGGGTTGGGATCCTTCCTTCCTGGGACCACATATATGTTTGTGCAGTTTTCTCTACATAGAGGCACCTGGCCAAGGGTTTCAGGGTGAGGACTGACCTCAGCCCACACAGAGGGTTTTCCTCTACGATAAGCCATGTCTGGGGGCTGTCGACCCCATAGCCCACAAAGGGGTCCTTGTTCTTAATTTGCAGAGACACTGACTGGGGCCTCGGGGGATGGGGGCTGCTATCTCCTGCCGTCCTTTCACACCCACCCTCCCTCCTCTTTCTCAGGCTCCATTCTGAGGGCTCCCGGTTAAGGCACCCTTCCTCACTTTCTACTCGGGGTTGCTTTTCCCTAGCTCAGAACTGAAAGCGGGTTTGATTCTACTGACTCAGACCTTGCTCCAGAATACTGTTT